CTTCCATACTTCCAAGAGGGAGCTCTGGTGGCCTAGGGGTAAGGAGCTGTGCTTCCAACCCAGAGGTATATGGTTCAAATCTACCAGCAGCTCTGTGGGAGAAAGATGGGCAATCAATTCCCACGTTATTCACGGCCTATGAAAACCTGCTGGAGAATCAGCTAGGAATCAGTTGCAACATAGCAACAACTACTTCTATAAAGTTTACAGCATTAGAGACCCATGGGGTAGTTCACCTGTGTCCTACCGGGATGCTATAAGTAAACAGCAATGGGTATACACCTTTAAGTCAAGGAAAGGTAGGGGGCATTAAGCGCCTCCTCTCCTTCCCCTTATTCTTTTGTCCTGCTCTGTCCCTCTGGGCCTGCATGTAGGTCTTGCGTGGACTTCTCTGAAAATAAGGCTTATGAATTGATCTCTCTCATTTCTCCTTACTCTCTGGTGCCCCTGGCTCGCCAATGGCTTGGTAGAAATGTTGAAAGTGCAGGGGTATAACCAGTAAAGACGTTTGAGGTGGGCAAGAAAGACAAAACCAATCAGAATCTATGGTGGTTGTTGTTGATTGCCGTTGAGTTGAGCACGACTCATAATGACTCTATGAACAACAGGCCTGAAGCCTTTCTAGAAAAAAACTGCAAAATTTATTTGGCACTGCTGCTGAGCCAGCCAGCCATGCTTTCTTCCCAGACAGCCTCTTTCTTCCATTCTGGCCTTGTCCTGCCTCTAGTTAAAGTCTCATCATTTTGCTAGTAGAGAAATAATGAAATTAAATATTGGGTTTATTTTAATGATTACTGCCCAATCTACGAGGGGAGTTCTGGTGGCTTAGTGGTAAGAAGTTGTGTCGCAATCCCAAAAGCACGCAGTTTGAATCCACCAGCTGCTCTGTGGAAAAAGGATGGGCAATCTCCTTCCAGTCCTCTTATTTACCGCCTCTGAAAACTCACTGGAGTGTCAACCATAGGTCTGTTCCAACTTGACAGCACACAACAGGAGAGCTAATAGGGAGCTAATTAATTAATAGGTAATTTCCTCCCTTGTGATTTACATCCTCTGAAAACCTATAAAAGGTCAGCTATGAGTGGATTCCAATTCAACAGAACATAATGAGAGCTAACGAGGGCAAAGGAAAGGGCAGGTAAGATATCTGCAGGTGTATAAAAAGTTCCTTACTAATTTGAGCTGAGTTGCTAAGTTTGGGTCCAACCTGCCAATCAAACTAAAGGAGCCCACCTGCTGCTGGCTTCACTCTACTGTCCACAGTTGAGATGCAGCTACATAGTTTAAATAAATTAGCTCCGTAGCTCATGACCATCAGCTCAGACTTATGTAAAAGTTGTCCTATCTGTACCAGGATGGCAAATGGATCTCTCACAGCTCATTTCCTGAGTACCTAGTACAATCTGAAAATGATAGCAACTGCTTCTTATGTAATCAAGATGAAAGAGTTCAGGGATGAAAGGCAGTCAACAGATGACTAGCTCAAATTGGCCTGCCATGCATGCTAAACTCAACATCAAGAAAACAAAGATTCTCACCACTGGGCAGCTTCATGATAGAGAAGAAACTGAGATTGTTAGAAACTTCAGCTTGCCTGCTTCCACAACCAACACTCTTGGTACCAGCAGCCAGGAAATCAAAAGATGAATTGTATTGGGAAATTCTGCTGTTGGCGACTCTCTCCAGTACTGAAGAGCAACAATGTCAGTCTGGAGATTAAGGTGTGCCTGAATCAGGCCATGGTCTTTGCAATTATCTGCTATGTATCAGAGAGATGGACAATAACAGAAGAAGGATCAATGCCTTTGAGTTGTGCTGGTGAAGAGTGTTAAACATACTGCGGACTGCCAGGAGAACAAATAGGTCTGTCCTGGAGAGGGTGAAATCAAGCTGCTCCCTGGAGGCAAGGATTTTGAAGTTCCATATCATATACTTAGGGCATGTGGCCAGGAGGGACCACTCCTTGAAGAGGACTTCCAGTGCCTGGAAAGGTGAAGAGACAGCACAGGAGACGAGGACCCAGAATGAGATAGATTGACTCAGTGACTGGAGAAAGGGGCTTAGGTCTGTTGGAGATGATGAGATTGGCTCAGGATAGGGCAGGGTTCAGGGCTAACGTACATAAGGTCGCTATCAGTTGCAGGTGATTTGATGGCAAATAACAACCACCACCACCTGCTCCAGGCTAGCTTAGAAGGGAAATGAATCTCTTCACTCTCACGACTCCTGATGCCTTGAGAAAGTCAAGTTTCTTCAGTCAGAATGTCCCCAGTAGGACTGAGTGAAGAGGTGCCTTACAATCTGCGAGGCCTTGATGGTTATTTTCCTCTCTTAAGCCTTAGCTTCCCTCTTCTTAAAAAATGTGGCGACTGTTCTCAAAAGTTTTAGATTAGGAGTCAGGAGTTGGATATACGGCTGAGATTCACTCTAAAGTTTACTGGATCACTGGTGAAGGAATACAAGTAAAGGAACAGAGGAAATCTTATAGGAGTGTTGTTAAGGTGATAAAGAATTGAAGAAAGTTGAGTTTCACTTACAAAGACAAAGAACATTTTTTCCCCCCAAAGGAAAAATTGGAGTCCTGTACATCTATGTAAAGCTTTTAATAAATAGGATGGTTCTTTTAGTAGTTTGTTTTACATTTGGAGCTAAAAAGAAAAAAAAAAAAGGAATACTCAAAGGAATAATTTAGGTAACTGAGTGGTACAAATGGTTAAGTGCTTAACTATTACTTCAAGGTTGGCTATTCAAACCAACCCAGAGATGGTTCATACAGTAGATAGGTCTTGTGATCTGTTTCCAAGAGTTCAGAGCCAACTCTACGGAGTTTTACTCTGCACACATAGAGATACTGTGAGATAGCATTGAATGGCTCCAGAATAAATGGTGGAGGTATATATCATGACCTATATGTGGTCTGGTGAGTATGCCTGGTGGTAGTGTTTTAAACTTCAAGCTATGACTAAACAAAAAAAGCATCAGAAAATAACTGCTCAAGAAACACTTCCCGGGAATCAGCGGACAAACAACTGAAGCAAAACTCTTCAACCACTTATTCAAGTACAAGTATTCTTGAAAGAAAGAGGTATAGAGAGCTTGGTTTAGGGAGAAGGTGGAGGAGGGAAGAGACTGTGAAGTCAAAAAAGGACACAGTATAACTCAGGCTAGAAGCTCCAAGAAGAAATCTCCAGTAAGGCATTTTCTCTAAGAAACTAGTTATTACAGAATTTTGCCCAATTATGGTAACAATGACTTGAGACAATAAATTCTATTTGCTAAAAGCAAATTCCTACCATTCTCTGAAGCACTGAAAGATACTGTGATACACTATCTAGTGCCATGATAAACTATACAGTGTATCCCAGATGCAATTTGGGAAGCTAAGAGAAAATTTTAAATAGGCCAAAGAATTCATAGCATTATGAGCTCAAGCTTACTGCTAAGTTTAAAATGTTAAGTGCCCTCATTTGAACATCATAGCTCAATTTTAATATGAGAATGAGGAAGTATTATTGAAGTTGTTAAAAAAACCCAAACCTCAAAACAGCACCAGCAAGAGTTGTGTTTTAAAGATGACATGGAAAAAATACCCTACAGAGGTTACTAAGAAACTTGTAAAACTAATGGGGAAATGTAGCTATATTTCCACATGTCCTATTTAGGGTCATATTTTCACAAACGGGACACCTTTGCTTTTCTACAAATGGTGATACCCCTCTATTAATGCCTATAACATAAACGACCCAGTGTAATATTAAAATATAGTTTTCAAGACACAATTTTTTAGTTACTCAATGATAAACTTAGCCTTAGTATGAAGAGTCAGAATGTAAGTTATTAAGACTAAAAGTCAAGCTATGAGAATGGCAGCAAAAGCTAGTGACTGACCTTGACTCTCCCTGCTGTTAAGGTTTCCTGAGGCCACGATGCATGAATGGAGTTGGAGTCCTCTTCAGCAGAGGTCTGAAACACCATGTAAGGACCCCAACTATATTCTCTGCTATCTTAGAGAGACAGTCCATTCCTTAGTGATTTGGAAAATGGAGACAGTTAAAAACATTTGCAGCTTCATATTAGAGTCTTTTATTCAGGACTAAAGCCGGATAAATTATACCGAGGGGAAAATAAAGTCACTGAACCCCAACAAGCCTCCTCAGGAAAACCCTCCTCAGGTAAGTAGTTTATCCCTTCTCAGGGATCTCGGCCCTGCCTCTTTTAACCTCCAGGGGGCACCAAGGGCTAACTTTTGGAAGCACAGAGGGGCAGACAGCTAGCTGCCTTGCTGTGACTGGAGGCTGCTTTGTGACTAGTGCTGAAGGCAGAGGGTGTATATGAGGATTACTTTATTCCTCTCATCCTGTGCTGACCAGCTTAGCACCGACCCACCCACATGACCCCGGTAACATAATGAGTCCACCAGAGAAGACACAGATGAAAGAAAAGCAAAATTTATTTTTCTACCAAATCTCCAATCCATGTTCCAGCCAATGGATGAAGATTAATTTAGCCACACATAGATTCCTGGTAAATATATATCTCTCTCTCCATATATAGGTATGTGTGTGTATTTATATATCTCCCCTAGGCATCTGAGAGCAGATGTTTCCAAATGCTCCTTCCTTGCTGCCACTTCTGCCCAAATGGGGCATTAAGCAGTCCTGGGCCTGCATTAACAGTCCTATCTCCACTCTACTGTCTGAAGACTTAGGACCATGGATGATTATAATGTCCCAACAATAGCCAAATAGATCCAAATCAAGTCTTAAAAACACTAACTGAAGTGCCTGCTGTTTGCTGGGCACAGGGTGAGGCACTGGCAGTGACTCTGCTGGTTCTGAGGAAGAGAAGTGGTGCTGGAGAGCTGGAAGGAGGATGCGTGCTGGGGACTGAGGGGGCACGCTCCTCCTCTGCTCACACCACCGGGAGCAGGCATGGAATGGGTCCCACAGTCGCTGTGCTATCTGCTGAGAGGCGCTGCCGTCTACGAATGAGAGCAGTTTCTAAGCAGCCGTGGAATTTCCTCCACAATCCACATAGTGATGTGTCTCTAAGGAGCTCTGGGTCACGTGGCCAATGTATGAGATCTTCACTGAAGTTCTGGGAAAAAGAAACAAACATTAATTCAGCTTCTCACTGTATAACATGGATGAACATGTTATGAATCTAGAGGCTATTATTATGCTGAGTGAAATACAAAAGTATAAATGTTGTATAAGATCACTATTATAAAAAAGTTAAAAAAATACATATGCACAATATCATCCTAGTATGATTACCATGGAGGGGAACAAAAGGAGAGGGAAATAAGAACTAATAAACATATAATAAACACTAAGAGAGGTAAAAGCAAAGGCCATATAGAACAAGGGGATGATGGGGCATTGTGGGCATTAATGTTCTAAACCAGAGAGGCTGTGGCATATCCACACAATGGAATACTACGCTGCACTGAAAAACAAGAAATTAATGAAATATTATTCAAAATGGGTGACCCTGGAGGACATTATGCTGAGTGAAATATCTCAGTCACAAAAGGACAAATACTGCATAGTGCCACTGCTGTAAAATGGGACTGACAGCAGGGTTCGGGGGAGACTGAGAAAGATGGATAAATTATGTATACTGTATTGAAACAGATGAGGGAGAGAACTGTTTAAAAGGGATATATGATTAGGTATTATTGTCATGACAGGAGTCCAGAACTAAGGCTGCATAGTGGAGTGGACCTGGGGGGAGGGATAGCATAACAATGAAAGACTTTTTCTTTTACTTTTCAAAGAGAAGAATAAACTGGGGGGGAGGATTGGGCAGGGAGAAAAGTGCAACAATGAATGAATGGAAATCCAAAGTCTCTGTAAACTTTCATTAAAATTAATAATAAAATAAAAGAAAAAAAACAAAAAGTGTATGAATGACTGGTTAAAAACCAAAGTGCTTTATAATGCTCAAATAACAATTTTTAAAAAGTAAAAGGAAAAAAATTCCTGTTCTGAGAGAAAACAAGAAAAATTTTCTATTCAAGCAACAATACCCAAAGGTCTCACACGCCTAGTCTCATAATTAGAACCTGGAGGTCAGTGGACCTTTCAACGTCTATAGGGACAATGCTCCCTGAAATGGCCCTCTAAACTAGTAGTGATTTCAACACACAGATCTCTTATATTTTTGGTTGTCACTACCAGATGGGGTACAGAAAAGGGGAGAGGAGCTTAACTGCTATCTAGTAGATAGACACCAGGGCTGCTGCTAAATGTCCCACAAAGTACAGGACAGTCACTCACAGTGAACTGTCCAGTTCAAAATGTCAAAAGTGCAGAGATTGAGAAATTCTGTTCTAAGCTTTCATATTTCAAATGTCTGCAGCAGATGCTTGTCATGTGTGGAACTTACAGTAACAGTGCCAAGAATAACCCAAAAGGGTCTGTTGCTCATGGTAGTTTGTGCAGCAAGTATGCAAGAACTAGGGATAAAGTCTGGCCAAACGTTCAGTGCTTACATCTTGAGAAAGCTTTTCCATTCTTTGCTAGTCTCATTAGGTTTCTAAAGGGAACACACAAGTTTTAAAACTACACCCTATTTTGTGGAGAAAATGGCATTTTCTATTGTTCACTGTGGAACTGGGGAGTTGTGAAGGTCTTTCCACGCTGCACTTGAACGATATCAAAAGCCTACCGCATCCATCTGTAAGGCAGATGCAGCTTCCTCTTGGGCTAGCTGCCTCTGCCTTGTGGGTGACACAGGAGGACGTGGGTAATGGTGGTGAGCTCACAGAGCGTGATGGCCCAGGTCCAAACACAAATGTTGTCAAGACAGAAGAGAAACATACCGCATGAAGATCACTATGTTGTGCACCAGGATTTCAGGCAATGTGCAGAAGAAGCTGACAAATAGCAAATAAGGAAATGGTCAGATTGATAAAAGGGAGAATCAGCAGAAGGGTGAGGAGTTACACACAGATGGAGGAGCAGTCAGTCCTGTTTGGGGTGCTCACTTCCCTAAAACCTCCCCTCTGACCTAAGCACTGCCAAGTTTCCACAAGTAATGTTTTTGTTCTCACATACTTTTTTTATTAGCTTTTTCAAAAAAAACTTTATATTGGGTAGTGCTTACAAAGTTCGTATACATTGTGTTTCACACTATCCTTCATTCACACTGTGTTTCATACAATCATTCTGATTCATTATGTTTTATACAATTAATCACTATTTAACTACCCTCACCCTTACCTGTCTTTCCAGATCCCTGCCGGATCTTTCCCATTTTCTTTACCCCTCCCTCCCACATATCTTTTTTTTTTTAAAGTAATTTATCATATCAATGGTGGAATTTGGTTTCTTTGCAATGTTTCTAGTGGTTTAGAGTTTTTGGTGGTGCAAAGGATTAATGTGCTTAGCTGCTGAGAAGTTAGAAGTTTGAGTCCAGCCTGGTGATCTATTTCTGAAAAATCAGCCCCTGAAAAGACCATGAAGTAGTTCTACTGTGACACACAGGGGGCTGCAATGGGTCAGAGTTCACTCTATGGCAACTGATGGTGGTGGAATGCTCTTAGAAGTCCCAGCACTTGAGTTACATATTAAGTGGCAGAAACTCAAATACATCTCAAAGCTAGGAAGCATACAGGCAAGAGCTGGGGCTGAAGGTAGGACCAGGGCCCAATCATCTGGGTATGACTCTGAACCTCTCAATGTGGAAAAAAAGCACAAATATAGAGCATCATTCTTACTACACATAGGAATATGGTCCTCCGGTCTCCGCTTTCACTGTAAAATTCACCTGAAAATAAAACATTAGAGTCATTCTGTGGCTGGGCAGGCTTGATATACTGCAGCACCTCAAAGACTCTGGGGATTATTCTTTGAACGTACCCAGAATTTCCTCAACACAGACTACAGCCTCTAACAAGTGATTCCAGCCTCCTCTATCAATAGCTATTGTAGTATAATACTGTCTTTTCTTGGGTGACAACATATCTCTTATAAGTTCTTTTGCTCCCCAAATATTTGCATGATCGTTGGTGTTTTTCGTAATGATACAACCCTCTGAGTCCTTCTCCTTAACTAGCTCCTTCAAGAGGGCATGAGAAAAAGAGAAAGTAGCAAGGACATAGCACACTCACAGCCCTACTGTGCCCATAAGCCTATGGGGACTACAGATTCTAGAAGAATGGCGTACCAGCTGCTCGCTCCGAGGCGGAATGAGGGAGACGTTTGTTGTACTATATGAGCCAATGACTGTGTTCATGTACTGAACTTGGGTTGACAGGCTGGTCACTGCCACGGAGTAGAAGTTGGAGTTCTTGATTTTCAGGGTGGCCTGCATCAAGACAAGTGAGGAAACCAGTGTAAATCTCCAGAGTCCAAGACTTGGAAGTTGTATAACCCAAAATGCGGAAGCCCAAAGTCTTACCGTGATGGCGAGGACTACCAGGGACTCATCCTTTTTAAATAAGACTTTCACTACTTTGATGCCGTCATCATCCACAAGGACTGAATGTGGAAATAGGAAAAAAACCACCAAACCAGATGCCAGGAGGCAGAGCAAGATGGACAGGAGGACATACTGCTTACTGCAAATGACAAAGCATATGACTGACCCAGGCAGCCAGGTACAAAGGTCCAATCAGTCATGATTAAACACAGAACCAGGTGTGAAGGAGGAACAAAATGAAAGTACAAAGAACCAGAAGGGAGAGAAAAACCCAAGTACAAGGAACTAGAAACCACAAGTCAGGCAAGAGTGAGTGGAGTGGGAGAGGGTTTTAAAAGCCCATTTGAATGTTGTTTGCATTTTAGAAAAACAAGCTGAGAGGAGCTTGTGGACAGAAGTATTTCCTCACCTCCCAGAATACCCCTCTCCTCCAACCCAAACCCTGCACATGACCATCAGAGTACTCTTAGCTTCAAGTTACCTTCCCCAGATTTTGAGGGGGCAGGAATATCTTACTTGAGCTGCAGCAGTAATGAGAAATTTACAAGAACAGATGCCATTTTCAAATAGTTAACTGTTATTCATTCATATGAAAAGGAGAAGGTGTCAAGAGGTGGGAGGCAGGTGAACTCACGTTCTCTGAGGTCGCAATCTCTGATCGCTGTGTGGGATCAAGGCCACCAGCTCATTTACTTGCTCTAGAAGAGACCCAAACAATGACTCTGTAAATCGCTCACGCTAGCAGTACTTCCCTTCACATCAGCCTGCCACAATACTACTCCTCTAAAACTAGACATTTCTAAAATACTAGTTTCACAGTTGGATCCAATAATCAAGAGATAAGTAAATTTACAGAACGTCACAGGTTTAAAAATATTCATCAGTGTTGCCAAGGCAGTGAAACGTCTGTTGGGAAATCAGATCTGTTCTGGCTTTACTGGCATTGAGCGGCAAGGCCCTGAGAAAGCTGAACTTTTGAATGTCACTCATGTTTTCCTCACTTTTAAGATAAAGGCTTTGGAGTGAATGGTTTCTCAATTTCCCACTAGCGCTAAATCTCTATTATTTTCTACCTAAACTGTTAAAGACTTACTTTCTGAGGGCCAACTCAATAACAAATGATACAGCACTCAATCGTGGCTCAACATTTCAGCTTCAACCCCACCCCCTAGTCTTTTTTCTCTCCCACCTGACATATTTTTTCAGATCTTTGGCTATTAATCGTTCACCATATGCTTCCTCAAAAAGAAATTTCTAAGATGGTCTCCTGCAAAGCTGAACCATTCCTCAGAAGTGAGCGTGATAAAGAACAGAGGTCCCGGCAGAGCAAATCCAATGTTCCACACCACAGAAATCAAGAACATGGAACAAGAATGGTTTTTAAATATAAGAGAATCCAGAGAAGCTGTGGAACCTTGTCTAGACTTTACCAGGTCACTTGAGCTTGCTCCTGTTCACAAGTCAACAGCATCATTGCCCGGGACAGACAAGAGCATTCCTGTGAGTATCCTGGGATTCTTGTTGGGAAATCACTGCGTCTTACCTGTCGGAATGTAGCCAGTCCCTTGACAAGTGAGGCAGGTGATACTATCTCGCCCTGTGAACTCCACATATGGAAACTGAGCTATGGCTTCTTCCTGCTCCGGATCGGCCCACACATCATCCCTGTCATCTCCTTGCTTTCGCCTGCAGGCAGGAGGGCGAGCAGAGGCAGAATGATGGGACCCCATGGCTGTGATGTGTCATGTCCTAGGAGGCAAGGAGGAAAATGAGTGCCAGTTGGCGTTTACCAACGCTGGTCAAGAGAAACTGCGTATGTTAGAGAAGTGGAAAGACAAAACCGACCGGATCGCCGTCCTGAGTGTTACCCCAGCACCGCAGGATTTCTCCCGGGTCGCTGATTGTGTAGAATCGCTCTCCAGACCCCTCTCACGCCCACTTAAAAGTCTGGGGGTCCTCATCCCAATCTGCCAGCTCTTCAATGCCCCGGGACTGCCCTTCGCTCCCATTCTGCGAGCCTTGCTTGTCCCTTCTTCTGCACCATTTTGCAAACTCTGAACCCTCCTTGAGAAAGACTTTCCGGACAAACAGGAGACTCTGAATGAATAACAGGCCTTAGTGACCTCCAACCCCCTCCATTTCCAGTCCCCGGAGGCGGGCGCAAGTCACGCCCCCTGACAGAGACGACTCCTCGAGCCCAACAGAACTGCTCAGGTGGGGACGAAGGGCCGCGTTCGTGGACCTGCATGGCACCAACTCCTGGAAGCATTTCTGGGGGCTGTTCTCCCAATACCTGCCCGATTCAGATCCGCTACCTGCCGACTCAGTGCTCCAAGCGGGTCCTTCACCGTGCGCATGCGCTGAAAGGCAGCTGGCTCGGGGACGGCTGGTTCTCGCGCGCGCATGCGCTCTTGACGGTTCAGAGGGTTTTCCCCCCCTCTTGCGCTTGCGCAGTTGTTGCGTCCCTTTTGCGCCACTAGGGGGCAGCAGAGAGCGGTGTAGAGCAGTGCCTCTCGTAGAACGTAGAAGGCGAGCTAGCTCTTTCGTGGTTCTCCAAGCGTTTGGAAAAGTAGAGTTGGGGTTTTTTGTTTGTTTGTTTGTTTGGGTGTTTTTTTTGCCCCTGTAATCTATTTTTTGCCATATATTACGTGTAGAATATATGTTTTGAAGAATGATTTTAGTATATATATATTTTTTTTTCCTTGGTGTGCACCATCAAGTCAGACTGACGGGGGAGGAGATTGACCCTCCTTCTCCAGCAGAGCGTCTGGTGAATTTGAACCGGAGAATAGTTTTAGAAGGCAGTGACTTGGAGGGGAAAGAGAATGGTCCTCCCGGGTAAAGGTTGATATGTTCTGGATTTTGTGGGTTCAACAGGATTTTGGAGAGCTCTTTGAAAGTCTGCCTTATTACATGTGGAGGTACCTTGGCTAGAGAGGAGCTAACTAACCAGGCTCAATATGAACTTGCTGCATTTGCGTCTGATCGTTAACTTTGCAGATCTTCTTTTTGCCAGCACATTCAGAGTTAATTATGACTTTGTGACTCACTTGAATTTAAAAACAATTGAGACTCATACGAGACTGAAAAGAGTGCCAGTAGGTTAATATACAATAAGGCCTCAGTGGTCTGCAAAAGCTGATAGCCAGAAGATTTCTTGGTACATTTAGATCCAGAGCAAGGGGACTTACTTTGGCTTCAGAGACACAGCAGAAGCGGAAAACCATGTTTGTGGTGGACGTTGGAAGTTTGCACTAAGGAGTTGCACAATGCAAAGGGGTGGGGGAAAGACAGGGTAATGACAGGCAAGGTCCAGTGGTGATTACTTTTGTAAAACACAATGCATTAGAATGATTGCATGAAACACAATGTGAATGAGGAATAGTGCGAAACAATGTATATAAACTTTGTAAACATCAAGAAAACAAAAATTCTTGTGGAGGCCCAGAGTACTCTGTAAACTTTTGTTATAAGACTTTTGTCTGAGATCCTATTACCAAATGGTTGTTCCCAGTCTGTAGGTTTTCTTCTCACCCTGTTGGAAAAAGGTTTTGATTTGCATTTTTAAAAGGTCTCATGCATCAATTTTATCCTCTTTAGATTGTGCATTTCTGGCTGTATTTGGCAGTCTCTTTATACCTTGGACTAGCACTTCTAAGCTTGGTCCCAGTTTGTCTCTTAAGAGTGTTACGGGTTTGGGCTTTACTCCAAGGTCTCTGATCCACTTTGAATTGATTTTTGTGTATGATGTGAGACGTGGATCCTGTTTCAGTTTTCTGTAGGTTAAAGTCCAGTTTTGCCAGCACCATTTGTTGAAGAGATTTATCATTTCCCCATTTGATAGCTTTGATTTCCTTGTCAAATATCAGTTGACCATAGATAGCTTGGTCTTTTTCTAGGTTCTCAATTCTGTTCCATTGGTGATGTGCCTGTCATTGTTCTAGTACCGTGCTGTTTGGTTACCACTGCTGTATATTAGGTTTTGATGTCAGGGAGTGCTATGCCTCCAACCTCATTTTTGTTTCTCAGAAATGTTTTGCTTATTTGGGGACTCTTGTCTCTCCAAATAAATTTGATAATTTCCCTTTCAATCTCCTTGAGAAATGAATTTGATACCTGGGTTGCGATTACATTGAACATGTAGATTGCTTTTGGTAGAATTGTAATTTTTACTGTATTGAGTCTTTCTATTCATGAACAGGACACATTTTCCCATTTCTTTGGGTCTTTTATTGTGTCTTGCAGAAATACTCTATAGTTTTCTTTGTATAGGTCTCTTGTCTCTCTTGTTATGTTCACGCCCAAGTATCTCAATTTGTGATCAAAATGGGCAAAAGACATGAAAATAATTTTCACAGAGGATGATATTTGAATGGCAAAGAGACACATGAATAAATGCTCCAAATCACTGGCAATAAGAGAGATGCAAATCAAAACCACAATGAGGTACCATCTCACTCCAGTAAGAGTGGCAAAGTTTAACAGGGCAGCAAGTAATAGATTTTGGAGAGGATGTAGCGAGAAAGGAACTCTTATACATTGTTGGGATTATAAAATGGTGCAACCATTCTGGAAGGCAATTTGGTGCTTCCTCAAAAAATTGCACATAGAAATTCCATATGACCCAGCTATTCCACTACTTGGAATACCTGAGAATATGAGAAGTGGGGCACAAACTGAAATTTGTACACCAATGTTAATAGCCCCATTAATAACAGCACCATTGCAAGAACATGGAAACAGCTCAAATGTCCAACTACAAACAAATGGATTGAGAATTATGGTACATTCACACAATGGAATACTATGCAGCACACAGGAGTAATGATTTTGTAAATTATTGCCTAACTTGGGAGGGACTGGAGAGCATTATGCTGAGTGAACTAACTCAGTCCTACAAGGATAAATATTGCATAAGACTGTTATTTTAGAATATGTATAAGGATCCAGGAGGGGTGGGAGAGGCTGGAAGCAGAGGGATGTGAATGTACAGGGGGAAAAGGGGATTAATCATTGGGTTGTACAATTTGATGGGTGGAGGGGTGAGGAAATGGAAAGAATTTTTTTTAATTTGTACAAGAATTTTGTAAATAAACTAATGACAAGAAAAAAGTCAATTTGGAGAGCAGGAAGGGAGGTGGGTAAATGTGCAGTAATGAATGGATGAAAATCTAACTTTTCTGTAAACTTTTGTTAAAATGACAATTAGAATAAAAAGTTTTATTAAAAAATAGAAAACAATGATTCTCAGTACTGGGACTATTGGCAGCCTTACGGTGAAGAGATTGAGATTGTTAACAGCTTTAGTTTGCTTGGCTCTACAATCAACACTTTGGTACCAGCAGCCAGGAAATCAAGAGACGAATTGCATTGGGAAAGTCGGCTATCAAGTGTCAAGTGGATGATTTCCAAAAGAGACCCAGGGGCCTCTTCAAGTAAGAACTAGAAAGTTCTGACTCGGAAATACAAGAAAGACATCAATACCAAGTGAGAGCAAGAGAAAGAATCTGAGGTTTATTAGACGTTCATAATAGACTATGAACGCGTTAGGACAGACAAACTTTTTATCTTAAAAGGGTTTATATATATCTTTAGTTAGCAGGGAATGGGGTTTAAACAGCTGATGGTGCATTCCTTCTAATGGATATGGTAACTTTGGCCATCTCATTTATATTTTCCTTGAGTCTGTTGTTTTGCCACATTCCTTGAGAGTTTTTTTTATTTGAAAATTTTTATTTCTTTTACTTTAGAGAGTCTGTTTTTGTTGTCATAAAGCACATTCCTTGAGAGTCGGTTTCTATTGTTATATTGCCACGGTCTTTGTCAAAACCAGTTCTGATTGATCTCCTTTGTCAGTGTCCTTTGCCATTCCCTGTCATCAGGGATGAAGAGCAATGATGTCAGTCTGGAGACTAAGGTGCACCTGATCCAGACCATAATCTTTGCAATTGCTTGCTATGCGTTAGAGAGCTGGGCAACAACAAGGGTTGATAGAAAGAGAATTGATGACGTTGAGCTGTGGTTCTGGAGAAGAGTATTGACTATATCATGGACTGTCAGGATAAAAAACAAGTTCATTCTAGAGAGGGTGAAACCAGGCTGCTACGGAGGCAAGGATTCTGAGGCTTTGTCTGACACACTTTGGGCATGTTGCAAGGAGGGACTGATCCTTGGAGAGGGACATCATGCTTGGAAGGGCAGAAGGATTGAGAAAGAGAGGGAGACCATTGATGAGATGGACTAATACAATGACTGGGGTAATGAAGATAGGCATGTCAGAGACAGTAAAGTTGGCACAGGATAGAGCAGGTTTCAGGGCTGTTATACATAGGGTTGCTATGAGTTGCAAACAACTTGATGGTACATAACAACAACAACAACAACAAGCAAACCAATTTTTAAAAATGTAAAATAGAATGTATATGAAAGATTGAATGAAACAATGTAAATGAAAGATTGTATGAAAAATGTATATGAAAGATTGTATAAACCCAATGTATATGAGTGAAACATAATGTAAAGGAATTACATGAAAACTAATAAAAAATATCTTTTAGGAATAAGAAGGAATTGTACTCTGTTGCCCTTCATGTTTTTCTTTCCTTCCTTGGAGAAGGTCAACTTTGGGATTAAGAAAAGACAAATTGCTTTCCATGAATAAAGGCGTTTAGATTGGTCATGATCAACCCGCTGAGCCTTTAGAGTAAAAAACAATGCGAAAACATCCTCTTTCACCTCTAAAACTAGCCC